TCCGTTGCGTCAAATGAATTTCCTTTAACTGGTGAGGGATCCATAAATCAAGTTTCTTGTCATAACCAAGGGTTTTTCATTTTTTTTCAATGCATGTATGCGACACATTGAGCTTCTCTGCAATATCTCGTGTTGTGCTGTGACGATTTGAATCGATAATGGCCTTGATATGGGTTTCATCCACTTCGACTGGGCGGCCAGATCGTTGTGAATTTTTCAGTGAAAAATCACCGGAACCAAATCTTCCAAACCAATTTCAACACTGCCTTTCTTTTAAGGCTTCATCTCCATATACGGCACATAACTTCTTTTGTGCTTGCGATGCGTTCTTGCCCTTTCGGAAGTAATACAATAAAATGTTTCGGAAGTCCACATCCTGTTCTTTCATTTTTAAATTGGGATAAAAACAAAACTATAGAACTAAACAAAAAAATTTTTTTGCTAATTAACCTAGAAGCCCATACAGTAAGAAAAAAATATAGGTTAGATGCTCTGGCCACGTTAACAAAACAAAAGAAAGTATAGAGTGAATCCGTCAACAAAAACGGCAATGACTTAGTTGGCAACCCGATAATTAAAGGGTTAACAATAAACGCTAAATTTAAAGCATTAATTGTTATAATAGTATTCGTGTGTGACACTTTATGGTTGAATCTTTAGGTTTGTATTACAAGATAACCTATCTATTAACGATTTTTCCAAATTTTGCTTGAGTGATCATTATTTGGAATCAGTCAACATAATGCAGGTCAGAGCCACGGTGATAAAGTATCAACTTCACAAAATAGTAACATCTGACATACTAGGTGCAAATGACATATATAAGAGTACATCTTCTTGTGAAAATTGACAAAGTTGATATTGTGAAACCTGTTAGACTCTAATTTGAAACTCGTATCTCAAGCGTTTTGTGATACACTTCTTGACAATAGGACTAGCACTAAAAAGACTCCCCTTCATTGGTCAGATTTAACCACTGCGATCGACATTAAACCTGCGACCACAAACCTTTCTAGCGATAACTGGTGTCTCAGTGGATAGAGGAAAATAATTTCGCTTACTCAATCTTAAAATATAATTAGATGTCAGGCAAAAGGTATTGCAGACCGAAGACTAGAGTTCTGCTATAAAGTATAACTAACCTCAGGATCACAACCCTTGTAGTTGCCACTGAAGCACATTGCCGGGCAAGCTTCTGAACACATTTCTCCGAAAGTGCCTTCCGGGCAAGTGATATGACAAGATGAACCATACTTGCCTGGCGCACAAGTGCAGGCTCCAGTTTTTGAATGACAATATCCTGTGGAGCATTGTTTCGGACATCTCTTGTCGCAGTCGGAGCCCCAGAATCCTGGAGGACATCCAATCTTCTCGCATCGCTTGCCATATCGACCTCGTGGGCATTCACACGCTCCTGTCACTGGATTGCAGCTTCCTGATGGACAGTCACACTTGCGGCTACAATTGATATCCCAAGTTCCCTGAAAGGGAGGAGTAATTTTAGCTTCCCAGCTGTCCATACCTATATTAAATTGTGAACCCGTAATTGATTTTGATTTAGCTATTACTTTTTCGGATGGTATATTTATGATCCCTAAAAGAGTTGGATAAATGAATAGGTAGAAAATTAATGCTAGGGGGAGGGGGGTAGATTTCTCACAGATTGTCGGTATGTCTTTGAATTTTTCATAATGCTAATTGCCATTTAAAAGATGTAAAATTGGTTTTTTTCAGATTCAAAGAAGAATAAAGAACCTACAGATGGGCATGTTTCAGCACAAATTGTCCCTTGATAGCCTGGAGGACATTTGCAACCCCGTCCATCTTTTCGACAAAGGGCCCCATTTCGACAATCTGAGCACGTGTATTGGCAGTGAGGACCAAAGGCACCCATTGGACAAACTTCTACAAAATGAAAGAAGATCTCAAAGAATACTCAACACCTAGCGTTTAAGTCAGTATCAGCGACGGGAATAGATATTATGGTTCTGGAAACTTGGCTGTTTCAGAAAAAAAGGCTTTCTTTTCTTCGTAGAAAATGAGTACGACATTGAAATAACGTAGAACAACATTAAAATCAACACAAAACTAAGCAATACTTTACGACGGCGACAAATACCTGTTAAACCGGGATTATAGTAGGCGCTATAATCATCGCCCATCATCACTGAATGTAATAACATGAGGGAAAATTAAATCATTAATAGATGTTCAACTAAAAGGGCATTTTTAAAGTCCCTTATTTATTGCCATGTTCGAATTCACATCGGTATATCAATAGACGTGTAAATCAAATAGGCGTTATTCATTTGGATTTGTAAAAAATTTCTGGATAGAAAAAGAATTTACAGAAATTTATTTCAAATTTAAAAGAACTACATTTAATCTCATAAGTGAGCACCAAACGCAAATATGTCATCCACATTCCTTAAGTCAACAGATTTTCGCATTTTTGTTTGGGAGATTACAAATATCATGCTGTTTTATGGATTCGTTTTCCGCGGATATTTTAATTTCATCACTAAAAATTTAATATTGTTTTCTTTTTCACATTTGTTTTAAAATGCTTAAATCGCTATAATTGTATTGCGAAATATTCATAATTTTAATTGATTTCTGCATTTAACTCACCTTTGAAATTCCAAATTTGTTCACAGACAAATCAGTACTAAATAATGCACTCATCAGCATGCACGAAATGCCATGCGTCATTAAACTTCTAGTTAATCATATTAAATTCCCGATAATTTAAAGGCTCATGAAAAACTCACTTTCGGTTAAGTCACCACTGTTTCCATAATTAGGTGGTTTCCAAGCCCCATCTGAAGGTGGGCTTTCATCACCAGCATAGTTTGAACCTAAAGAGGCATCAACACTCCATTAATAAAATCAGCAGGTCAGTGCAGAGTGGTTCAATACCAGGGGCTACTTACGAATACAAGTTTTACCATCTGCCGCAAGCTCTTCACCCATTTGGCAAATGCAGATATAGCTTCCTGGAGTATTGATGCACTTTCCTGAACACCCACCGTTGTAATTGAGGCACTCGTCAATATCTAAAAGAAACAAGATTTAATAGTAGTCTTCTACTAAAACTATTTAAGTAATACTATTAACGAAAGGGATTTACCACTACAGGAGAAACCGTCCACTGATAGACGATAGCCCTCATCACAAGCGCAACGGTATCCACCAATTTCGTTGATGCATCTCGATGCAACACTATGACACTTTGCTTCACCAACTGCACACTCGTCACGATCTAGCAGTATGGAAACGAAAAAGTATGATCGCATAGAAGCCACATTTATCAAACTGATTTAAGAGATCGGCTTTATAACATGGTCATAATAATTAATGCGAACTTTGACTCTATTTGAAAGAAGTAATTCAAGAAATTTCAAAAAATACAAAGGTGCCTTTGTTTTATTACTTCTATCAAATTTATTTAAACGATTCTGTTGACTAAGCCAGTGAAACTGAAATAGTTCTATTCACTTTCGTTTGAGAGTTCACTTAATCCTACTGAGATATTTACAACCAGCTTCTTTCTCCTGCTGACTAATGTGTCTGACTCCTGGATGATCTTCATTTGAGACGCACCGATTTGGGTCCCATTGACTTAATCCTATTCACCTTAGATATTAAATAGTTTTAATTGCGGTCGCATACTGTGATGAGGACATGTAAAAACAAATGTTCCCTGTGTCTTTCGGGTCTTAGTCTATTATTCTCACTGACCCACGACTAAGGCTTTTACATATGCAGCTTGACACAAAATTTCCAGATATTAACACTTCAATTCAATTAGCTTTTATTTGTTTTGAAGCCCTTTCAATCTCTCCGATTTTTTTAAATCTTTAATAATGCAATTGAGCATCATTAACATTTTTCATTCCAACGAATCAAATTTAATTACCAAGTCGCCTTTTAAAATTTATTAGACTAGGCATAGTTAAAATATCTTCACAAAGTCGAGAAGCTTAATTTTTTTTGGAAATATCGCTGTGGATAAAAGTGTGGTAAATTACAGTTTTTTAACAAGGTCGTTTGTTTAGAATAAATTTTACAAAGCATACAGAACTTTAAAGCATCCACCCTAAAATAAAGAATTATGAAAAAAAAATTAATTAGAAATTATATTTCTTTCCCATACCACATGTGGCTTTTTAGCATCATAAACAACATTTTAATTGCATTTTCACAGAAGTTTTTTGCCAATGACGCTGATGTCAACAAAAACATTAGGCGTGCCACAAAAGAGAAGAAGTCATGTGTGACAACACTTTTTGCCTGAACTGAGAGCAGTGGCTTATTGTCTTTAACCATTGTCTAATGTATTCCAGCTAACAACAGGCCTAACAATAGAACTCAACTCCTCAAGCAGTTGAAAAAATTGCACTAAATAATTATGCTTTTATATCTTGAAATTTATTTACTCATTCAACTCCTATAAGCAAGAAATGAAAGAAAAGACACCAACGATTCAATGGTCAAGGTTGGTTATATTTTAGGCAAAGCAGATTATACACCCATTTCACTAATTCCCAAGTGTTTTCCACTAGGCACCATACTGCCAATTGGATCTGAATGACTTGAACTGCCCTCTCGACGTTTCAATCTATCGCAGTTTCGCAGTTTTAAAATTAAAATGGCCGTTTGTCTCCAAGGGTGGCATGAGCTGAACGGTTTGTTCAGAGATATCCAGTATGCAATTAACAAATAAACAGGTAAGCAGTTCCGCCTTATGAAATTTGGGATTTTTAATTTTAACTTTTGTAGTTCATATAAATACAAATTAGTACTTATTCAAAAGATCCTTTGAAGGGACTCACACTTAACCTGATACCAACCTTAACAATGAAATTTCAGCTAGTAAGTTAGGGAAACTTTTTACCATATCCCAACGGAAAGTTCTTTACTGTTGAATTTGGTCACGGAATTTGCTTGTAATTCAACGGTATTAAATTCTTTTGTTAATTTTCGAGTTAATTTTCGCCAACATTTTTATATTGCTACTATGAAAGGAACTTAACAGAGAGTTTAGCTTCACATTGACGGATTTTTAAAGCGATCATGGCATTTTAGATAGGGGAATTGAGGAATTTATCGAATTCCGCTTATTACTCAGTAATGTGTGCTCTTCATTCATTGGTTGCTAAATTGTTGCCCAATTTTAGACTTCTTATTGGCTAATTATTCACAGTTTCAGTTAACTAATAATAAAGACTCTGATCTGGTCTCCAACCAATCAATAGAAAGCTGATATTTTACACTAAAGGAGATATAACTAGGGTTAACCTTCTTTTGAAGGCTTACTGCAAACCCTATCAACTCCTGTAAATAATAAGAAAGTTACTTGATCTGATCTTTAAAATGAATTAGTCCCTCGATTTTGGAATGTAATTAAAACATACACTCCTAAATTGAAAAAAATGTAAGTGTCACTATTCGAGTTAAACATTACCTTCACACGTTCTTCCATCAGCTTGCAGATCGAAGCCAGGATTGCAGGCGCATTCAGCAGTTCCAGCTGCAGTTCGAATACATTTTTGTGTGCATCCACCATTTCCATTTTCACAAGGATCCGAAACTTCCAAAACGACTCCTGTAAAGAACAAGAAGCACACAACATAAATTCTAGTTAGTTGGAGCTCAATCCAGGTAATAAACTTCAAGGGATAAATCATGCCAACTTGCAGAATGCTGTGTGGTTATTAGGATTCTCACACGATTTAGATCTTACGACTAGAGCATGGTCTTTGAAAAAATCGATGCTGTGAAAACGGCTATTTCTATGATTTATGAGAGCGCTTTAATGGTTTTGTTATGAAGCGATTTAGTTAAATTTTATTACTATTTACTAGTAAAATGGAAAGGTAGCTTTTTTAACTGTGTGAAATAATTTGAATATCAAAGCAGTCTAATAAAGATGGGCAGAACTTAATTTCACCTAATTTAAGATTTTTTGCCTTGTTCACTGTACTATGCTAAAAGTTCAGCAACTTATTTATTTATATCAAATGGCAGGCGTTATGAAAGTTATCATTAGCCCTTTAGTTGACTTCAGGCTTCACAGAGGAGGAGGAACATCAACGTGAAACAAGTCGAGAGGGAGAGGGGGAACAGAAGAGAGTTTCAAAGATGTAAAAGAGGCAGACAGACACAATGGTAGAGTAAAAGGTAAGATGAGTACTGTGGAAGGGGTCGAATATGACATACAATGGGGTGAGGGTAGTTTGAAGTGAGAAGTCAACTGCCAGTTAATAGACTTTTGCCCTATGAGTATACGTTGCCCAGGGTGCACCACGTGGAGGTAAGTCTATCGCACAGCCCTGTTCAGCAACTTTGACATCCAGATCACATTAGCCAATTAGGTAAAGATGGCAACTGTTCATACTAACTCCGCATTAAAAGGTATTTCTAAAATCAGTGAATCATAATTAATTGGGAATTGATTCATAGAGCTGTAATTACAATTGATACTCAAGAAAGGTAAAGTAGGATTGGTAATACAGTGGGCAGTCTGGCATGAACTCACCTACATAACCTTTCATTAACAATTTCCAATTTCTTAAGTTTACGTGATTTTGTCGAGAACGATATTCTTTTATACATGCTAATCCATGAGAATTAAAGTATTTCTTGGATAAGTCATGTTTATAAATTGTTATAATCATTTAGTAAGTATTTATTTATTTATTTAATTATAACAAATGGCATCGTTTCGATAGTTATCGTTAACCCTTTAGTTGACTTCGGGCTTTACAGAATGGAGGAGGAAAATGAAAATGAGAAGAATTCAAGAGAGAGAGAACAGAAGAGTGATTCACAGATGTAAAAGAAACAGACAGACATCAAGGCTCAGAAAGGGTCAGATGAGTACTGTGGTAGGGGTCGAATATGACATACAGTGGAGTCATGGTAGTTTGAAGTCAGAAGTCAGCTGCCGGTAAACAGACTTTTTTGCCGTATGCTTATACGTTGCCCAGGTTGCACCACGAGGAGGTAAGTCTATCTCACATCTCCCCATTTAGTAAGTAGTAATGTGCTTTCGAATGAAACAAATCTAAGAGATAAGTGTGAGTGCTTTGAACAAATGAGGCACATTCTGATTCCAAAAGCTCAAATTCGTAAAGAGCTTTCGGCAGTTTTAGTTTACTCCTAAATTTGTCTATATCTTCACCATTTTCCCAATTTTAAGTGATTTTTAGGATTACAAATGGCTATATTTTTATCTTTTCACGAGTATTAACACGTGCTCATTGAAGGATCTCTCAAAGAACCTGTTCAGTAGGTGTTCCAGATATTTATTTTTTCCTTCAAGCTCATTAAATTAGGTTCACTACAGTTAGAAGTAATTTCTAACAGGCAGCGCAGTTCATAAACAATTTCACGTATAAATATATAGGGAGCTAGCATTAATTTAATTATCCAGTTCTCATCCAATCTCAAATACTTATAAATGGGTAAATTAAGATTGCAATAATTCAAGTTTTCATTATATTTCTTATTTGATAGAAATGGAGGGGGGGGGGGGGG